TAATTTTACATCTAGTTTACTTTGTAAAGCCTCCAGCTATACCAGTATAACTTATCACACAATGCTTTCCAGGTTATTCTCTCTCTTTGATTAAAAAAAAATAATTTTGCTTATGTGAGGTGTTTTGCTTGTTTAGATATGCTGCAGATTTTCCTGTTTGGATAAAGAAGTGTACTCACTTCCATAGAAAGAACAATTAGGTAAACTGTCTTTTCAGCCTAGAAAAGAAATTATAAGAGAGACGATATGATAGAGATGCATGAAATCATGAGTGGAATTGAGAAAATTAATATAGGAGAGTTATTCAGTCTTTCACGGCATGAGAACACATGAGCATCAGTTGAAACTAGTAACACTTTCAAACCAAAACAAAACCAAATATTTCTTTATGCATAGTTGGACTGTAGAACTCATTGTCATACAGCACTGTTATTCATGGAATATTTATAAAAGTTCAAAAAGCAATGAAACAATTTCATAAAAGAAAAGTTCCCAACTGACTATTGACTCCAAAAGTCCTCAGATGCCACAAATCATTGGAGCGTTTACAGGGAAAATCTCAGTACGGGCTCACCCTGTTCTTATATATTCCCAAGGCATTTGATTTTTGGGTCACTGTGAGAAACTGTACAGGACAATGTAGAATTTCAACAGTATAGCTCTTCTTAGGACAAGTATTATTGATTAAGTAATTATTTCACAATTATATATAACTAGAAAACATAATTTCATTTATTTCTATATCTGGGTATTCCAAACAGACATGAAAAATAAGTATTTGATTTGAAGGCAAAGTATGACCAGCATTTCTTGTAAGACTTGTTTGAATGGAATCAGCTGAAATAGTACACTCTGTTTTAATGATTTTTAACTGAACAGACTAAGAAGCTCAGCGGATCCAGTTTTGGATTCAGTCCAGGCACAGAGCCATAAGAATGACGTGGTTTCAGGGGGCTGAATCCAACATGCATGCAAGCAGGCATGTACACAGAAGAGGAGCCAAACTGGAGTGAAAGAGGAGATGTACGGCCCAGTCTGGGCTCTCTGCCGGTTAATATGGAAAGTTTGTGCTGTGGCATTTCCTATGCAAACACAAAGAGTGCTTTGAAAGTCTAAGCTTTTTAATTTGCTGCAGGTGCCAACCAATGCAGACCAATTTAACTTAGGAGTTTTATTGCTGAAGTTATTAATGGTAAGCTGGTGTAAAGATGTCCATTAAATAATATCATATTTTAACAAATTATTTTGCATTAGATAAAAGTGGGTCTGTGTCATGGTCCAGTTACTGTGGAAGATTTTAAAAATTGGATGAGTGCAGGCTTTTAATTTCTCTTCTAAATTCCCAGTATTTCTTTGCCTTTATTAAGATGTGCAGCCCTGCCCCTCACCTCACACTGAATGGCACTGCACTGATAGCCACCTGGGTTGGATGTGAATAGACAAACTCTCATGCACCTCTTGAATCTCATAGAAAAAAATTCAGGGATGAGGTAAACCTGATGTGGAGCACAACTTAATGATCCCATTCTGAAGCTCCCCTGTGTTGGTGGTGCCTCCAGCCACTGTTTCAGGGTCATTGTCATATGTGGCAGCCGTGCTGTTTTGGTGCTGAGAATGGTTTGCAAGTGGAAACACCTGTCCACTGGCTGCAAATTGAGGGACTGGGAAAGCCCATTGGCACTGATAACGCTGGAAGTGGAAGGTGCAGGCAGGAGACATTAATCTCTTTCCTTCTCCTTCTAGCTGACAGCTAGATTTCAGAGCAGGATGGTGATTTCTGGCTGCTAAATTACAAGTCGTCTTGCACAAACCAAAGGAGACCAGGGTCATTTAACTGAGACCGATACGCATCTATGGGGATTTCCAAAAGGGTATTTAAACACATGACTGCGCAATGGTAGAGGAACAAAATGGCATGCCTGCAACTTCTAATGACCGGTGTTGCAAATAATCCTCCTTAGGCAACCATCATCCACATGCTTTCAGCACAGGGAATTCGCAAGTACACAGGATTTATAGTTTTGTGTTCAGAAATATATGTCTAACTGAAAAAGATGCTCCTTTTCAAGGAATATGGCCTTTTCTCAGTGGCCTTGCAGCTTAAATTGATGTCTCTCTCCATTTCTGGGTTGGACTATCTGTGTACGTTCTTCCAAGTAAAAGTTGTGGGTTTTTTCTTTTCTTTCAGGGATGATGCATTTTTAGGGTTTTTATGATTGGCCAGGTAGAGAATGTATCTGTATGAATATTTCTGAGAGAGGATAATTGCGTTGTAGTTACAGTATGAGCACATTTTGAAAAAGGACAGGGAGCAGGTTTAACATTGCTCTTTGAAAGCAATAAGCATAAATTTGGTCAGTGGTAACAAGCTATTTGAGATTTTGACATTTGGTATTCAGCATCAGCTTTGGAGATTAGAATGCACTGAAAGAAATTGGCCAATGGAGAACTATTAGTGGAGGCTTTTTTAAGCAAAATTTATTTTAAAAAAGCCAATAAATAAATAATACAGAGAAGAGCCTTCTGTCCTGGAGGGAATGTGAGGGCTACTAGAGCTTCTTCTTCAATCTTCAAACTAATTTATGCAAGTCTGAGCAAATAAACTTTTAAAAATTTGAAGTAATTAAACCCAACAAACCTGTGTACAGTCCATAAATATTGAGGGTAGTCTATTTCCTGGAAATATCAGGAAAATAACATTTTAAACTTTTATATACAGAAATACACATTTTTACAGCACAGCCCTCAAGCATCCTTGATGACAATTAAAAAGGCCATTCTTTTTCAAGCACAGATCATTGTCCACAATAGCTCCATCACCACACAACTCCCACCGTGCACTGCACACACACTAGAATCAAGAACTTGATCAGAAGATCAAGAGAATAACACACCATCCTTTCCTCCAAAAGACATTGCAAGCAATATGTATGTGCATGCACGTTCTCACCATGGAAAAGATGCACAAGTTCTTAGTTTCTTGGGTAGTTTGCTCAGGTAATGCTGATGGTTCCAGCCTGGGAGAACTATTTGTCTAGGAATATGACTTCAGGAAGAAGAAGGGAGCAGCCTCAACTTAGAAAACATGTTATCAAGTTAGGAAGCTGTTCTGGAATTATTTTCTACTAGTATCAGAGGACCTTCAGGAATAGAGCAGAATTACAGCCTTCACACTATCTAATACAGACCCATTTGCTCTCTCCAGCTCCCATTTATGCAATGGAAACAAAAGATTTCAAGTCAGAGTTGCACTGCTGACATGAAAGCCTGGGAAGACTTGGTGAAATCCTTGCCTTTAGACTGTGGGTGCACTGCCAGTAATCTAGATGGGAATAAAACTGTGCCATTCAGAACTGCCCACTATGCCAAAATGATGTACTTAGATGAATTGCATTACTTTCTGCCAAAATCCAAGTGGGCGTAAACAATGTGTACCAAAACGAGGAGACTGAGAAAAACTATTCTAATTTAATAACCTGATTATAAGGAGTCTGTGGACGTACCTTTTGTCTTAATAGTTCAATACAGAAATCTAGTAATGTTTTGGGGTAATATGGATAAACTTCATATAAGAGTCTAGTCTGCTGGGCAACGGTGGCGAGCGAGACTGATCTGACCTGAATCATTTTAGAAATCCATCCATACTAAAGCATATCTTCCCTTGCCGACTGCTCACCTAAGCCATGCTACTGATTCTGTGCTATGAGAAAAAAAAAAAGTCTTTGTTTTGCATGCTATCTACTCCAATTTTCTGCAGTTCTCAGTGGCAAACTCATGTGAGGGGTCCGTGTATGTACCTGACATTTCCACTGAATAGAAGCTGCACAGTAAATCGAGTATTGCTGAGCTGTAGATGTTCATAGTAATACAAGACAGAAATGGGAGATGTCCTTTGGAGAATTTTCTGTGCTTGAAAGAGAGTAAAGGAGGAAAGTAACTCCACGGTCCTTTCTTTCCTAACTGAGAATGATTCCCTGAAATATTTATTTCAGGAAGAAAATCTATCAATAAATGTTCCTTACTCCATTTGCTCCTTTTAGAGAATTTCTTCTAACTCTTTTGCAAAAAGTTCACTTTCAAAGACTGTATGGTATGTGTCTCTGCAGTAGTCAGGGCTGTAATTTCTCTAATTCACCCTACCAGATTATACACTACTTATTTTACTCTTCTTATGCTTAATATAATTCAAGAGTACTTTCTTGTAATCCTTGAGAGAAAACTACTTCAACAAGGAAAATAAATGGTGGGAAAGCTCTTTTATCCATTCATTTTACTGCACGTCCCCTGCATAAACTTCTTTGTGCAAAAGCAGTGATGTGGTAGTGCATGTGAGCATGAGCAGACATGAGTTTGTGTATTGTTACTGTGAGATCAAGCATCTAAAAGAAGCTGGGTTTCTCCTCCTTGGAGAATTTGCCTCCTCTAAGGCAGGGTTATGCCAAACCCTTAACATTTAAAACTTGTCACTAAACATTACAATAAGGATATCTTTAAGAACGACAGATGCATGAGATGCAGGGTTTGGGGGCTGGAGAAGAAAAAGGTTGCCTTTTGGGGCAGTTTTAGATTCTCAGTGTACACTTGGCTCATAATCTTATTTCTTTGCAATAGTAAGGCTTCATAATTAGTTTTTATAAACAAAGTCTTAACCTAGGACATAGATTAAAAAAAGAGAAGGAATGTTTCAAAATTCACAGTAAGTTTGCAAAACTTGGCAACATTGACAAGAACTCAAGTTGATCATCCAAAATCAGAAATCATGCAGTAAATTCCTGACCTTGGTCGCTTTGTGGGGAGAAAAAAGAGGGGGTGCCCATCATGTTGCAGCAATGTGAGCCTCAAGTTGATTTTTTTTGTCCAGAGTCAGAAGTTGCCTTGAATGTTTCTGTGCAGCTTTCAGGTGGAGAAGGGGCACGTGCTAGACTTGGCTTGTTTTGCTGATAGTATAAATACCTTTTTTTTTTTTTTTTTTTTTTTTGTTTTTTTTCCTTGTTTTTCAGCAACAGTTGGCCAAGAATATAAAATTTGGGCAGCCTCCACAAATGACAATTTCTGTGAGGACGATGGGGGAGGCAAACACTAGTATAGAAGAGGATGTGTTGCTCAGTAGCCCCATGGAGATTGAGACTCAGCAGGACACTGTGATCTCAGACAGTGGTAATAAAGTAAGCACTTTAAATCGACATATTCATGGCATTTATAGCAGTACTAAAACAGTAAAGTCCACTGGGGCATAGCAGATGTCTCCAGTGAGGCGTAGCTGAGCTCAGCGGGCTGTTTTATGTGGGTGGGATCTCTCAGCTTGTGTTTCTTGGACTGGTGAGAAGCGTGTGCTCTTGGCATCCTGAGCCAGGTCCCACAGAATTACTGGTTTGAACGTTTGCTCTGAACTTCCATCAGTGCAGACATCACTTGGCAGTATAGCTAGAAGATAGGGAATTTTTCTGAGACAGAAAATGTCTTGAAATATGGACTTCCCAGCATGCAAGGTTGTACACGGCGTCAAATGGTAAAAAGGAAAATAATTCCAAAACGCAAGGGGTCTGGAGCTTAAATCTGTAAAATCCTGGGTCTTGGGGTAAATATCCATGTTTCTCATGGATGGGAACCGAAGGCAAAGAGGGGGGAGAAACATTTTGAGAATTCTCCCTAAATCCAGATCTCCAGTATAATTCAAATAATTACTCAAATTATCCATGAAGATTTTGATACCAGGAACTGTGGGCATTCAATGTCCACGTTCATGTCCAGAAAGGTCTCATTTAGACAGTGAAGAAACACAGTGATGGAAGCTCTCTGGAAATCCTCTAAGGCGAGACTGGTTCTGTGTGTCACTGTAATGGCTGAAGGGACCGTGGGGGACAGAGGGACATCCTTCCCTGCCCAGGGGAGGCTGACTTTGTGCCCGTGAACCCTTGGGGAAGGCAAGCAGCAACCCACCATGCACATGCAGCCCTTAAGATCGTGGAGGGACACTGAGCCTCCGCTCATGTGAAAGGCAAAGGCAGTTAAGTGTCCTCTGCAGCTAATGCCTATATTCAGCCAAACACACAGAAAGGAGATTTATGGCTGAGGTGGCCCAAAGTCTTTATCAGTCTTCAAGGGTCTCCTCTGTGACCACTTCGTTTGTGGCTGTGGTCGGATTTGTCAGGGAGCCAGGCGTTTCGGTAGGACCCGCACACTCACGCCTCTTCCTCTGCAGGCTGGGAGGATAAAAATGAAGCCAAAGTAAAGGTATATTTTTTTCCGCTTCACAAACACTCCCTTCTGAAGCAATCAGTTAAGGTGAATCAAGAGCATCTTGCGTGCCTCAGGGCACAAAGAGTGCACTGGCACTGTGGCCAGGTTTTGGCTCTGTACCCTGGTACTAGGCGAGACTCTATGTTTGAGACCAACACAGATTCTCTGCAGAAAGCCTTCTTGCTCTGTCCTGCAGGAGACCTGAATGTCACCTAGAGACCTCCAGCTCAAAGGGGAAAATAATTCCAGCACTAAAAAAACACTAAAGTATCTTTGTGTAATAAAAAGGGAGAGATTCAGTCTTCACCACCTACTCTTTTAAATATTATGTTTTGTAAACCAAATGAATGCCCCTTTGCATAAATCTTTTTCCAAATACCGAAGGAACAAACATCCCTACTCAGAGGAGATTGTAGACACAAACAAACCAATGCTACATGCATAGGGTCAGCCAGAACACTTGGTACTTTCCTTTTCTCTTTCTGCACGCTACTCATTACCGGCTTTATCAGAGATTTCTGGTGCACTGCAGCTTGCCTTGTTTCTGCTCCTGTCTCTGCTGGTGGCCTTGTAACTCCTCTGCATGTTTATCTGCATAGGTCCTGGGGTGATGGGGTGGCTTCTGTCAGGAGCTGGTGGCCAGGACCACATAGCGCTGCTCTACTTCAAACAGGTTTCCTGTGTTGCTTTGTGACTTCTGATTTTCCTGACTAACTTGGATTGATGGCAGGAGTTCTGGGTTTCATTTAACCTATATTTGTAAAGCTGATTTTTTAGGCTTTATACTACCAATTGCGTGCACCTCGTGCACTTGTGATCCCAACATTCATTAGCTTACGAAGTAATACTGTGATATAATGCTTAAAACCAGAGTTTCTGGGTGTCACAAATGCTACTTCAACCCCTGTGCCTTCAAAATCCCTTCCTGTGAGATGGCTTGGAGAGGGACAGTAGCTAAGGAGTCCTAGTGACTGATAGGCTTTGATTGCTCGGGGGGGGCTGGTTTGCTTTATAGGAAGCGGAGTCATCAACAACCTGGAGTTGAAACTCCTTGCAGCAGACGTAATGCCTGATCAGGTTCCTATATTTTTTTCCTTAGGTGTAGGTCGGGAGAAAATAGTTATTAAAAGAGCTGATTGAAATCCTACAAAGGTGTGCTCTTTCTTTGGATTTGGAATCTGGTTATCTTGTTAAGGAAGTGTGAGTGTTCTGCCTTTTGTAGTGTCTTGTAGCAACAACTGCTTCTGTATAGACAGCAGTAATTCAAGGAGCAGCAAAGAGAAACTCATAGCATTTAGGAACAAGAATTGTTTATCCTTCAATCCTGCAGTGACAGGAGATGGGGTAAAAATCTTCCCTAATATGCATGATTTCACAAGTCCTTTGAACCATATTTATTAGGTCCTTTACTTTTTAATATCTAGCTATGGTAATCTTCTTGTTTTCTAGTCCACTGACACTCCAGATTTGTTGAGAACAATGAGTTTGCCTGGAACAGGACATGAAGCGGAAGAAAAGGTAAAAAAACTTACACTTGGTTTGCACTGAGTTACTTGCTAATATTAGTTATTAGAAGCCTAACGGTCAGTTTTTGCTTTAATACATATTTCCTTGTTTCATTCACCACCCACGGTTTTTTGAACATTGCACAGTTTTGGGGCTAGTAAATAAGCAATAACTAAGATTGAGAAATCTGTAAGAGTTGATTGCAGGAGACAGCAGAACTCGCTCTCTGCCAGTCTTGTAGCATTCCTGCATTTGATGTATTAATCATAGAGCCATAATTTTCATAAATACTTCTACTACTTTGTTATGCTTACATGTAATTCAATAAACATATGCAAAATGTTCCATCAGCTTTTAAGTAATTGGTTCCCTGATTAGCATATGTTTAACCTTCCGAAGATTACAGAGCTGTCTTGAAAACAATGTATGTGATTTTCTTTCCTTACAGAAGATGCTTTCTCCCTTCCTTTTTTTTTTTTTTTCTGTCTTCTTTTTCCACTTGGATTGTGCCAAATACAAGTCTCAGGATGATAGCTCAGTGACTTACGGGAGAGACTGATCACAGGCTCACTCTTAAATGTCTAGACATATAGTTCCACTGTATTTATTCATGAGAGGGGTCTCACTAAATCACTTTGCTTGTATTTTGCACTTTCTGAACCCAAATACTTGAAGCGCAAGAGAAAAAAGCACCAATCAAAGCCAGCATTGTCTTATTTTATTTTTTGCTGTTCTTTGGTGCCAGCTTGGACAACTCCACATGACTTTGGAGGAAGGTTTTCTGCAGGCACTGTGCCAGTCTGAGATCCAATACTGTGATCATCTCCCATGCAGAGAGTACAGCTCTGTAGCTGTTCTATTATAATGCTTAGATAAGTCAATCTGATTTGGTCTTGCCTAAAGTGTACAATCTAAATTATTTAAAGATGTAGATATTTTTTCCACGGTAAGCAAACATTAAAATGTCCCAGTGTTTGATGTTGCTTAAAACTCCACCCCTGTCCTTCCCAATCCCAACAACTTCAGAGTGGAGCTAAACTGTGAAAAAACTTAGTTAGAATGGTCTAAGTAGTTTTTAAGTGAAAAGTATAAAAATGTGTAGTACTGGAAATAGGGAAAATATTACAGCTGTAACTTTCATGTCCAAACTTCATGATTTGTATGATGGAAAAACAGGATTTAAAGTCTTTTCTGCTAATAACTCCTTTGAATTCAAAACTGAAAAGGCTTTGGGGGTGGGATATTTGTTTGTTTATTTATTTAAATGGAACAAATAGCTTAATAATAGCTTCTTGTGTTTGTAACACAAACAGGTCACTCCAGTCAAATCATCGCGGCCAAAAAGACAATTTTCCTGTTCTGGCACAATTGAAACAATCAATTTGGATGCAGTTCCCCAGGCTGTTGCTCGTCTAGACAACAGTGCAGCTAAACACAAGCTGTCAGTGAAGCCAAAAAAACAGAGGATGTCAAGAAAGCACAAGAGATTGACAAAGGTATTGAATCACTGGTCAAACAGTGAGAGGAGGGGGGTTGCTTTTGAAGCTGGGTACAAAATAACCGTAACTGAGTGCACCAGAAGTAGCTATAGGCGGAGGACTGTCTTAAAATGTGATTAACACTGTTAGAGACAGGTATTGAAAGCTTCTTCAACAAATCTCATGTCTTCAAGGCAAAACAAAATGCATGCTTCTTTCATTTTGTCTTGAAATCAAGATAGAGACCTAAAGATGAAACCCTAGCTGGACAGAAGATGCAAAGAAGTTTTAACATAGCCAGTTGAGACAAATGTACTTGCACCTGAAGTACTTCCACTAGAATTTTACACTGAGAGAGCTTCTGAGTCTAGCTTTTCTAGTAAAAAATTCAGGCCATAAAGGTCCGAAGGATATCTGCCACTGTTAATGCTGCTCTGGTATAGGCAATCAGATAGTGCAAAATTTGGTTGGGAAAAAAATTAGATTCTCTAAAAGTGGCACGAGTTCCGACAGTGATAGTATCATTCTCTTATAAGAAAGAATAAGACTTAAGTAATGCAGCTTTTGCTGCAGCTACAGAGTGAATTACCAAATCCTAGCTTTGTACACTAACTGCATGGCTATTTTGGGTTTTATGCTGACATCTTGCTAGTGCTTGTAAATGGGACAAGACTATTCAACTAATACAGGGTTCAGGAGAGGCCACTGTCCTTTCTTCCGCACCATTGTACTTGCATTTATCACTCTTGCAATGAAGAAATTTTAAATTTAAACCTCTTGTTTATACAGAACGTTTAACTGGAGCCAAATGATGGCTCAACAAATGATAGATAGACAGGGCATTAGCTGAGCTGTTTTCCTCAAGGAAGGTGCTGGGAAGCACTCTTCAGGTGCAGCTCACCTTCAGACCATGTCGCCACAGAGACAAGGAGTAAGCTGTGAAGATCTGCATTTAGTTTATTGCAGGTATTGCACCACATGCCAGGGCTGTGGGGCAAGCACAGAGAACCAGTCAGCAGTTAGCACGTCTCAGTACAGTACAGTATTGCCGGGGAGCTCTAGGTTCTCTGCCCATGTGTGGTCCCACAGTTCCTGCAACAGAATGGGAGTCTCAGCACAGCTAATGAGGTAGATACACTGGCTCAGAATTTGTGAAAAGTAACCAAATTGTGTTTCCCAGAGCAGTGTTCTATCCCAGCTAGCATTGCAGAGCTCTTTTCTGCAGGCAACAGCTTCTGTCTCTGCAAGTAACAGCTAGATTTGCCATGAAAGAACTGGCAAAACGATGCCCTTAAGTAGGTGCTAATTATTTCAGGATTAAAGGATGGAGTTCCAAGTAGTAGAACAGGCATATGAAACTTGTGCTCTATTCCTTGAGTTTCTGTAAATTTGAAATGGCAGATCTCAACCTGGATTAGTTTGTGTACACCAAATGGTGATTCAATATTTAGCGTTATACTGATATCACTGTTGGGATGTTTTCTTTCTTTTAAAGGCTATCACCCAAATAGGTGAGAGGCATGGGATCTATGATGATGTGATCCATAAATTGGCATGGGTGTGTTGGCTCTGGATCTAAATCATTGTTTAAAAAAAAAAAGAAAAAAAGAGTTGTTTTTAATTTGCAACTGATTGGACGTTCACTGTAAAGAATAACAAGCCATTAGGCAATATTCAGTAACTCTAAACTTGTCTCCCAATTTTAGGGATCACAAAGTTTAACGATAACAGAATTTGAGCCAGAGGACCTAGAAACTCAGCTGTATGGCGACAGATACCCAGGTTATAATGGACACATCATAGCAGACAAGCTAATCCAGAACAGAGATGAGCAGAAGCAGCTTCAGCTGGCAGAGGAGAAAAGAATTGAAGATCACTGGGGGATCTTTGAGGCTGAAAGAATAAGGCAGATTGTAGAAATGGAAGAACAAAGAGAAATGGAAGAACAAAGAGAAATGGAAGAACAAAGGTGCCAAGAACTTGAGCAGGTGCAGAAGGAGCAGGAGAGAAGGTGTCGTGAAGAAGAGAGGAGGCAGTATCTCCTTGAAGGAGAGACATCTTTGAAAACAGAAGAGCAAACATGCCATAAAGAGGAGAGAAGACTGCTGGAGGCTGAAAAGAGGCAAGAGCTGGAAGAGCAGAGTTGGCAGGAACTGGAGAAGCAGACACAGAAGGAGCTGGAGGAGCCACAGGGACAAGAGCTGGAGGAGCAGAAGTGCCAGGAAAAAGAGGAGCAACAGAGACAAGAGCTGGAGGAACAGAAGCACCAGGAATGGAAGGAGCAACAGAGACAAGAGCTGGAGGAACAGAAGCACCAGGAATGGAAGGAGCAACAGAGACAAGAGCTGGAGGAACAGAAGCACCAGGAATGGAAGGAGCAACAGAGACAAGAGCTGGAGGAACAGAAGCACCAGGAATGGAAGGAGCAACAGAGACAAGAGCTGGAGGAAATGAAGCACCAGGAACGGGAGGACCAACAGAGACGAGAGCTGGAGGAGCAGAAACACCAGGAATGGGAAAAGCAGAGATGTCAGGAGTTGGAGGAGCAGAGGCATCAGGAATGGGAAGAGCAGGGGCGCAAGGAGCTTGAGGAGAAACAGAGACGAGAGCTGGAGGAGCAGAAGCGGCTAGAGCTGGAAGAATTAAGACAACATGTGATTGAAAAACAGTGTCAAGAGGAAGAAGAAAGAAGTTGGCTGGAGGGCCAAAAAGAACTCAAGGGAAAAAATAAGGAAGAAAAACAGAGACAAGAGCTAGAAGGGAAAGAGCTTCAAGAAGCTGAAATAAAACTGAAGCAGGAGAAAGAAGCTGAGAGCCTCAAACAACAGAAAAAACAGGAGGAACAAAGGCTGCATTTGAAGGAGAAAGGAGAAAAGACAGAGAAGGAACAACCCCAGCATGTAATGGATAAGACAAAGAAACGGGAAGAGCAGAGAAAACACAAGCTCACAAAACAAATGCACTTGGAAAGTACAGAAAGTGTGCAACAAGATGAACTGAAGCAGCAAAAGGAACAAAATGAACAAGAATGGAACAAGCTGGAAGAGCAGAGGGTAGACACAGAAGGACAAAATCTTCAGCAAAACCAACAAGAAAAATCCTTGGAACAGCAACAGGACAAGGATCAGTTGTGTTCTGGAGGGGCTGATAGGCATCTGCTAGAGGAGAAGCTCCAAGAAGGATCAAGATCCCAAAAACTCAAACAGCCAGAAAAAGGGAATAAAACAGCAGAAGGCGGCCTAGCCCAGAAACTGAAGAGAGAAGTTGAGGCGCAGGAGCAAAAGCGAATAGGGGAAGAGCTTCGGTGGCAAGAGGTAGATGAAAGACAAACTGCATCCAGACCCTTCACATTTCAAGTGTCTTCTGGAGATAAACAGATCATATTTCAGAAAGTAAATCTGAGTCCAGTCATGCCCATCAAAGGAGCAGGACTCTCTTCTCCATCCATCAAAGACTGCAGGATGCACACTGCCAGCAAGGGCTCCCATACACTCCCATCATCTGTGTGTGTACCCCATACAGCTATTTTGGTTACTGGAGCACAGCTGTGTGGCACAGCAGTTAACTTGAACCAGATAAAGGACACGGCTTGTAAATCATTACTTGGCTTAACAGAAGAGAGAAAAAATGTGGACATTCCTTCACCAGAGAAGGCCCAGAAAAAAAACCAGGATCCCAAGCCCAGCAGCAGTAAAATGAAATATGCACAAGAGACATCGAACAACCAGGCCGTACTAGCTGAGTGGGCCTCTATCCGCTCCAGAATCCTGAAGAACGCAGAAAACAGCAAATATGAGAGAGATCGAGTAAGTGTCTGCAGACACAGTGACGACTGGACACCCCGAGGACGGGGTGCTCCACATGGCAACTTGAGGAAGACTCTCTCTGCCAATGCGAAGTTCTCAATAACACCAGCATGGCAGAAATTTTCAGAAGCTTCAAAAACCAATTCAGATGCTGAGAATGTAAGTGTGGCAAAAGGCAATGAACCAGTGGGAAGAATCACTGGCTCATGTGCTGACTCAAAGGAGGATGAGGCTTCTACTTTTAAGGATAACTTTGCTGAAAAGGCTAAGGAGAAAATGGAAACCCATAGTGAAATGACAGACAACACAGAAGGCTGTAAATTTGCAAAAGATCTTCCATCTTTCCTTGTTCCAAGTTTTCCTCATTCTCCAGGTAAAGAATTACCCCAGGCAGAACTTCCTGGTGCTCAGGAAAATCAGCAGAATAACAGCACAAAAAAAGCAGATAAACCAGCACCAAACGGAGAAGAAAATGTTTCTCCTTTTGGGATAAAGTTACGAAGGACAAACTACTCTTTACGTTTCCATTATGATCAACAGGCTGAGCAAAGGAAAAAGAAAAGATACAGTGCAGGAGATAGTTTTGATGGTTTGCCTGACCCACTAGTTACAACAGAAGGTGAGAAAGAGTCCGCTGTTTTTGCTCCGCAAGAGAGTACATCCTCTGGCATAGGGAGAGTGAACGTCCTTGGTAATGTGAAAGACTCAAAAGACTCTTCAATTACTGTGGTGGAGATTTCACAACCAGCAGGCACACCAGTGGTCCTACCAGCCACTGGCCAGAGCACTTTACTCCCTCATGAGAAACCAGCATGCAAGTCACTGGTCCCACAGAAACCTGCTTTAGCTCCAAAGCCCACCAGCCAGACACCACCATCGTCTCCTCTCTCTAAAATGAACAGATCAAACCTAGCTGATACACTAGGGCAAAGGTTGGTTAAAGCTGAATCAGACAGTGGCTGGAGAAAAGAAGACAGAGCAAATGCAGTGCAGTCCACACCATCCAATGAGTACAAAAATGAAGAGGAAGAAATCAGAGAAAAGAAGTCATTTTTCCCATCTATAAGTATTCCATGGAGAGAAAAAAATGACAAAAAGCCTGAGCCACTGAAGAAAGGTATGTATTTTTCAAAGGTCATTTAGTTATTGTCTGCATTTTCAAAATGAAATACTGGAGGTCCAGAGGAAGAAACTTGGTCTTAAGATATAATTTTTACTTGGCACATTATCTGTGGAGTACCACTACTTTGCTTTGGGTTGTCTGAATGAATGAGACTTCCCATCCCCACAGTTTAATTCAGATACACATAAACTCAGTGTGACGAGTGCGACCTGCTTACGGAAGTTAATTTCAAGAAGGTAGCTGAAGTGTGTGTGTTTTTTCCTTGACAGAGATATTACCTAGTTAGTCAGATGATGGACTCTGTTCCATGTGTAATGGTGTCATTGGAGCAAAGGAAGTAATTTTTATAATTTACATTACATTGTATCTATTTTTTAGGGGAATATTATGTAAGTTAAAAAGTACTAAGATCTAGGTCCCCTTATAGTGCCTACCACTGGCAAATTCTCTATCTATCTAACCCGATATAGCTGGAGGCAGGAGTCTGCATTTCAGAGGCATTCTTCAGTAATCGAAACAATTACGGTAGCCATAGTAGCTCTTCAGAGGAAGGTTGAAAGCCCCTGTGGCTTGAAATAGTATTCTGTACAAGAGTGAAAATCACCCTTTGAGTGCAAGCACACTCAAAAGAGCAAGGCAGGAATTCAGCATTTAATCGGGAAATCCCAATTTTTTCCATTCTTGAATTTTGCAAGCATCAAGACACTTCTAAAACCATATCTCAGTGGAACTGCTGCTTGTTTTTACACCTTTTCCTTTAACTCCCATTTTTCAATGAGGATTTATGGGAACTAGTTAAGAGGCACAGCTGCTGGTCTGGGAGCGCAGGGCCCGGGCCAGTTGGGCGTTTCCATGCTCACTGAGCTCTGCAGGAGCACCTTTGCACCCTAGTGCTGCTCCCAACCACTCACGGCTCTATACTGGGTGCTAGCCCCAGTTTCATGCATGCTACAGGAAGTCAAATACTCAAGTGACGATTTGAAAAAAAAAATTTTTTTTAAGAGGGGCTGCATTTACAGAGTACATCATTTCAGCCTCCTTCTTCTGGCCAAAATTCGGACACTCTTCTTTGCTTAATTACAGCTGGAAAACCAGGGAACTGCAGTACATAGTGGCTGGATCCCTTTCATTAGAGTTATAAACAATCAATGCATATGTATCACTTTCACCTAAATATCTCATGCAGTGTGAGTACTTGCAGTAAATTAGGCTGGAAGTCTAAGTGTCTGGGGTAGGCTTTTTCACACAAAAAGGATAAATTTGGACAGCTGTATGAGTGTGTTGAATTAGGTCTTATTCCTGAGGCATAAAAACTGTTTCAGGATTTGACATAAAGACCACAAAGGTCTGTGAATGGCAAGGCATTCAATGGGCTGAGCTCCAGAGTTTTCACAAGGTAGAGAAATGGTACCTGTTTGCTTGAGATGTGCATTACTTAACCAATTCTTCTCATGTTTTCTTTCAGAAAAGCCAGTCCTCCAGAGCAGGCACTCTTTAGATGGCTCTAAATTGATGGAGAAAGTTGAAACTTCACAACCACTTTGGATTACATTAGCGCTGCAAAAGCAAAAGGGGTTTCGTGAGCAGCAAGCTACGAGGGAAGAGAGGAGACAAGCCAGAGAGGCAAAGCAAGCAGAGAAGCTGGCTAAAGAAAATGTAAATGATCTTTAGAAACCTGCCCATTAGAAATACTGATGCCATAATTATAACTGTTAGCTAGTTTTATTATGTGAAAGGGATTTTTTTTTAATGTTTGGTTTATAAGATTTCATAAAAGCTAAAATGACAGTGAGTAAAAAGTAGTTTGAAAATTTGGAGTTCCCTTTTTGCAAAACTGAGACCTCAGGGAGAAAATACTGTGCAATAGTATGACAATTTTAGTGTAAACTCTGATGCCTTAATATCAGGTGGTAGTTAATGGCGATCATAAGCATGACCACTGCACAGTTGATTGAACAGAAGAATTGTATGCAGCATGGTTCTTTCAAAGCTTGATGTTAAGCCTTAATGCTTGGGGAATAACAGCTGGAATACTCATTTATAAGTGAATATAGGTAAATATTAGTAAGTTTGAATTTATTTTTATTGTAACATATTATTTGGATAAAATGCAGATGAATGAAAGAAATGAACTGTCATGTGGAACATCCAAATGCCTAAAGCAGGCACGGAATTCAAGTATCACTTCTTTCCTGTTCTCTAAATAGCTACTTACTATCTATGGTTTTCTGTTAGTAAGAAAAACACTTCTACTTATAGTACAACGTGATGCTACAAAACCAGTGATGCTGTATATAGATACCACAGATAGTAAAAAGGGAGATGATGGGGGTAACTAAGTATATTTTGCTGTTTGTTACAAGACCCAAATTTCTGATGGACACATGCATAATTACAGATGTAGATAATTGGCGGAAGAAAACAGCAGTGGGTGTGAAGTTGCCCACAGATGCACACGCTGTGTTTCAGTGCTGTATTTAACAGGTAGGGCTGGCTCAAACTGTTCGGTATTTTGACTGAAATGACAACATGACAAATTTAACTTTGTGGGTCTTTTTTTACAGTCTCTAATAACTGTTAGTTTTAGAAGTATTAGCGTGTTTCCATCCTTTGCCAAAAAGGAAGGTTAAGGAAAGGACAGGTGATGAATGAAAGCATCAAGTGTGACATCTCTTACTTGTAGCCATTACATGACAGACTGTTTATCATTCAGCAGTTTTCCGTCTCTGTTCTAGGCTGCTGTAAGTAATCAGCCAGAAAATAAAAGTAGCAGCAGCAAAACAAGCACACTGCAGAAATCTACAACTCAAGAAGACGAGAAGAAAATTGAGACTGCTGTGTCAAGACTAGAAAGAAGGGAGCAGCTAAAAAAGTCAAACACGCTTCCAACTTCTGTGACAGGTACAGTGAAAGATTCAGATTTACTCGAGGAATAATGCACTTCAGAAATGGTATTGCATGTTTTTGAGAAAGTGAATGAATTTGTTTTTTCCTCATATATTACCCCTAGAATTACAAATGCATTTGCTTTCAGCATGGAACAACACAACTTGTCCTGGTCTCACCTGCTGGCCATTATGCTGACAGTATAGAATTTCAACAGGTTTTTATCAGGTTCCCCAGGTTATTAAGGCTGCACTACTGCATTTCCTTAGAATTGCCCCAGTTCAAGCTTAAAAAATTAAGCTGTCTCCCCAAGCTATATCCAACAGTATTTTTGGAACATGACTAATACACATTAGAGGGATTTGACTTACTGTGAATTGCAACTGCAATTCCAAAAATGTAAAAACTAATCAATTCAGTTGAAGGTAGCCTGTCACTTTGAATTTAGGCCGCCTCCTTCCCAGTCACATTTTTGGTATGGAAGGTTGGAACCAGAACCTACTACTTTATCTGTCACCTCAGTTAAGCTGAAACTATTCCATATTCAAAAAGCAGGCAGGTTTAAATACTTCCCCAAAGGGCATACTATTTGGGGTGGTGATGGCTGAAATAGAGACTTGCCTAATATTTCTCTAGCCAACATTAGTCCTAGGCAAAAGGTTTTGGAGAAGAGTACAGATAGGTGTTGAAGAAACCTTTTTACAAGTTGCACAGTAAATAGCGTGGGCTTCTTGGAAAGTGAATACACATATCGGCTGAATCTATTCAGTAGTACTCCAAGCCAAGAACTATGAAATGCAACTGTTGAAAGCTATGAGGTAATTAATTTATCTGATAGTAAAGGCTAAACCAGTGCTACTGCTACATTACAGATTGTTCCAAGCCGAACAACCCGTACGCATGCCTATATTCAGTTGGTTCAGCAGCCGTATGTCCACACTGCAGCTGCAGGCCAATGCAGATAGTCCTGAGAACTTGTTTTACTTGCAACATCGTGGATTGGACTAGATGATCTTTAAAGGTCCCTTCCAACCCAAACCATTCTAAGATCTCGCATAGATTGCCCAAAACTTTCCTGCTCCCTGTTAGCCTGCTGCCAGTGCCCAAACTGGCTTTGGAGGCAAGCAGCTGGAGCAGCTTTACGGCATTCCTGTCAACCTGTTAACGGGGCTCTACTGCAGCCCTACCGGCAAAGATTTGGTAGTGTCATGTTATGCTGTACATAGTTCATTCTAGCAGAAGTCAATCTCTAGCACGACAGATGATGTCAAACTAGATCAAAGAAGGGCCAAACCCCAATTATCCTTGGTCTGTCTGCACTAGAATGAAGATTTCAGGAGGAAATTCAGGAGGAATTACCAATTTTGAATTACCAAAAGTGAAAGCATAGAACTGTGTTCGCCCTAAAGGAAAGAGTGACTGGATTTCTGTGTGATTACTGGCTACGTTTGGAGCCAGGTAGCCATTATCAATTGCACAAATATATGGTATACAAGTATTGGTTTATTATGGATGATGACAGTGATTTGGGTATCCCACAATTAGGGGAGCATTTAAGGCAGAAGACCAGCCTAGAACATGTTTAAAATAAAAGTTTGCCAAGTCCTTTGCTAAGGACATTGAAATACACCAACTTCTTCAAGTTTTGGGTGTTTCTTTAGACTTGCACTTGAATCTTGTACAACAGGAACTGATAAGCGGGTATAACCTTTAAAATAGCAAAAATTACCATAACCTTTAAAATAATTAGCTTTTCAAAGTGTCTGTCTACAGCAATAGCTGCTGCTACTGTTCATTTACTTATAGCTAAAAATACATGATTAAAGATGTACTAAAAAGAAAACCAAACAAATTTTGCCATCAATGCAATTTTAAAGCTTTTTAAAACATTCTAAACCTGAAAATAAAATGCAACTAGGAAGTAATTTGGACTGTATCTGAACATTTAACAAAAAAGGGGTTTTGGCTCATAAAAAATAAAACATGTAAAGGGGGATTAGTGAGGAGTTATTTTGTAATTAAGATTTTTTAGAGTTACTCCATAGGTTTCAGATAGGACTCATTTCTATGCCTTCAACGGCATTCACTGTCTCAGAATTAAACAGTCTTTCCACCTGACGTTTCTACAGTTCTGCTCTGTAAAGCTGCTTGTTAGGAATCATTTGCTTATTCAACACATTTTCTTGCTGAGACAGCTGTTTGCCTTAAATATACCATATTAAAGAAAATGTGACAAACAGCTATTGGAGAAAGCTGGTTCATTTCTTCTTCAGGATAGTCTCATGGGAGTGGTTAACTGAGGCAGAAAAACTATGGGACTGCTTTCTTCTCTGTGCTTATTTAAGAACTCTAATCTGAAGAGGGAATCTAAATCTTATTGAATACAGTTGGGTTACATGTGTTCAGTGGCTGCATTACCAAAGAGAAAAAAACCCAAACCAGCTTGTTTTCCCATTGTTTGCTACATTGCAGATGTAATTAAAATAGTTTATGTAAAGAAGAGTGACAAATTGGAAATTATTTCTTTGGATCTCACAGAGACTGAAAATTTTGTCCCTATTTTGTGAGTTACATTAGTTGGCGTCACCTCTGAAAAAGGAAACTCAGCTCCTCCTAACTTCATTATTTTGCAAATACAATAAAAAGCAAGATTTAATTAAAAGGGTTGGAATAAATATGAAGAATTAGATCAGACCATCTTCACAGAAAAGAAGCAAAATTTCTAGAATCCTGCAACTAATGTTTTTTTCTCTTCCCCTCCCCATCCCATCAAAACCAGTGGAAATTTCAGATTCTGTTCCGTCAACCCCACTTGCAAAGGAGGTGGCCAAGAGATTCTCTACGCCTGATGCTAACCCTGTGTCAACAGAACCAGCCTGGCTTGCATTAGCCAAGAGGAAAGCAAAAGCCTGGAGTGACTGTCCACAGATCATAAAGTAAACTGTAAAATTACATCTCTATTGCTGACTATTAATTGCTTTCTTTTTATTTATTCAGCTTTTTACACATGACAAAACTGAAAATGCATGTATTGAAGGACTGAAAACTGAACTGATTACCATTTTGCTCTAGCTCACTGTAAAGTCTACTGAAGTCATATATTCCATTGCTTTGACAAATAGCTAAATGAGGTCACAGCAAAAATTTCAGAACCAGACTCTCTCAAAAATTTAAGAATGCTCAGATACTGGATGTAAATTTTAGCAAGTATCATAATAAGGGCCAGAACTTCAGTTCAGAAGCTCCTTACATTCTGCGGGTATTCGGTTCTGGAATTTTAGATCTCTATACTTAAGTGGAGATCTCAGAATTTTTTTTCAACACTCCATTGTTGAAAATTAAGGCAAGATGCATGTTCCCTTCTCTTATTCCTGAATTTTTTTTAAGTGTTAAACTGTATGAACTGTCAGTTCTACCTGCTATTTGAAAGCTTCTTCCCTAACGAAGAACTTTGGGAGATATCGTTCTACCTGCAAATGATAAGTAGAAAGACAGTACCATCCAAATGCTGAGGTAATTTCTTTTATCATAGGATTAATACACTATGTCTATATTCCCTCACTCCTAGCAAGAATGCAATTCATCCTACATAACAAAAACCCCATTATTTAAACAAAAATCAGAAAGTTTTCTGAAAGAAGCCAGGAAGTCAAATGTTTATTTAAGTGCATCACTGTTTGTGCTTGGCCATATTTAAGATGCATAGAGACAAAGATTGCAGATTACAACTTTAAATCAAGCAACTGGAACTAAAATAAGTGAAACTATTCCTGTGCTCATGTAGCTGTAGAATTTGTCTCAGTAAGTTCCTACAGGAGTTAAGACTTGCAGAACTGAAATTAACTGAGAACTGAACATTAAGTCAGTGAGAGTCTCAGGAGTTTTAACTCTGCGTTCTTCCTGATTTTACTCCACGTGCAACTTCAGGTAGTTCAGATGACTCCCTGTACCTTGACCAATACACCCAGAACACTTCAGAAAGAAGTTTACTTACCCCATCTCAGGTATCTGCTGTGGCAATTGAACACTTTATTGCTTCTTGTAACTAAAATAGAAATGTTTGCCCCCTCCCTCTTACAAAAAAGGATAAAGTCCATAGTGTAATAAAAATCTTACTATCCTCAACATCCCACAGAAATACCTAGGGTGACTTTTTAAAAAGTCACCCTAGTAAATAAATCTGTAACACATCTGAGTTTGTTTTACAAGCAAGTCTTTTAACAAATTTGAACGTCTCCTTCTTAAAACCATAAGGCTCAAAGTAACCTTTAAGCCTACAACATCATAAAGGGAGACATTTTCAGGAGAAGAAATTGCATTATAGAATGATACCACATATGTTTCATGGCAGTATTTTAGCCAAACTGCTGTATGCAGCATGAGAAGTAGCACTTTAATTATGCAGAAAACAGAATGAAACCTGCCGTATCCTCCCATTCCAAGAGTCAAAAAGGGCTTGTCAGCAAAATTAATTATTGAATACTCTATTTCCCACCAAACAGAAAACAACAGTTCAGTTTCATGGTTACAGTAGCACAAAAACAATGGATGTCTTAGCTTGAGTAGATGTGCAGCAGCAAGATGGGTTTTCTTGGGTCGCTTAAGCCATCAGTTTCGTATCTAAAACCAGAATCTCTAAAGTAACTTTTTACCCATAATGTAAGTATTTAAAATGTTTTATACAGAGATGGGGCAATGCTGGTCTCAAATGCTTGGGGAAAAAAAAAAATACTTCACACCTTCAGAGAAAATCTCTGCAAGCTTATCTGAAGAAAGAATTGGGCCCATAATTATTTTTACTCTGCTAGCACCATGAATTAGTGCATCTTAAATTAAATTTACACTTTTTCTGAGTTTATAAGCCTGCAGTATGTATTTGTAATTACAAGAAGTAAACTGCCTGAAATCCATCTTTATGATTATTTCTTGGGAGAAGGAGCCAGGCAGAAATATGGAGAAGGTGAAGTAAATCAGGATTAAAGAATTAAAGATGCTGGTATTCTGAAACACATAGCAAAATTAGGTGCTATTGTGCATGACGTAAGGATGCAATTTTCCAATACAAAACAGTTATAGCACATAGAATAGAGCTTTCATTAAGGATGGTCTTAATCTAAAGCTTCAAAGCAGAGATTTTTTTCAACCATAAAGGTATCTAGTGTAATAATGGAAACTGTATTACGTACAGTACTTGATGGAAACATTTCTAAAGTGTACATGTTCAACAGTGACATTTCATGTTAAATTAACAAAAATTTGCACTAAATACCAATGAAGTGAAGTGTTACTTTGCTTTAGCTTTGTTGCAGCCATTTCTGATAAAGTGTTGGAAATCTGTAAAAATAAAACCAAAACAGTACTACTGAGTTTAAAACAGCAAAAATGTTTTAAGAACCGAACAAACCACTATGTAGTATATTGTCTCAATTTTTTGTAACTTATACACACAAAATACCATTTCTTCTGACAAGGGTTATATATGATTAACCTCTATGTTCATACAGTAATGTATAAAAACTATAAGATGTACAATTGTGGGGTATTTGTTGTGTACTTTTTTAATTTTTCAAATGTTTTAAAGTGCAATTGTTTATTATACTAATGTCATTTTAATTCTTATTAAACTATAACCCAGTCAAAGTTATCTAATCAATGACGTGTGTTCTGTGTCTCCTTTTGCTAATCGTGTAGTTCAGGTTTGCATTTTACAGTGCTACAAGTGTCTTGCCTATGTGTTTCTGCTAACGATAAAGCAGAGGAACCAGAGGTGATGAAGCAACATAGCCAGTGCAACCTCTACTTTACTTTTTAATTCAAGATGTTAGAATTCAAAGTAGATGGCTCATCAGAGAGAGAGAATAGTTTCTACTATAGTTCTTTTAGAAGACTCATAAGCAGGAAGAGGCTCTCAGTTAAGCATACTTCTGTCACGGCCAATACTTGATTGGCATTACTAAGACCACTGGTAATTCCTTGTAAGGCATTAAAGACAATCCAAACCAGTTCGCACCACCCTTTATTAATAGTTCTCTGTAAAGACACTGTATAAAGCATTCATTCAAATATCTTAAAAAATGATTTAACAATGGCTGATTTGAGCAGTGCACAATTCATCTGGGAACTCACACTGTACCTGTCATTGAAATTTAGTTAAGTATACACATGTAAGTATATTCTCCACTTTAGAATAGAACTAACTCCTACTGACTTCAATGGAGTTTAAGTACATGCTCAACTGAATTGAAGCTGAGGAGGCCCTAGGCTCACAAAGATGAACTATTTGGTTTATAAAAACTAGAGTAAACAGGCCACTACTACCAGGTATATGCAATGCAGGCTGTGCCTTTAGAAATCAAGTTAAAAGTTAGATTAAAAAAAAGGACTTGGGTTACCTTGACATAGCACAGAAACCTTGTCAGACTAGACAAACACCTGTCTGATGCATGGAAGAGCCAGGCACAGGCTAGGCTGGACTCAGAGAGAGGAACACATTCTTCCCACAGAGAGACAAGCATCTTATCCCAAGCTGCAGAGTATGGCACCTTACCACAGTTTCTCCCAATCCTGCAAGTGTTTGAAGCCAAACTACGGACTTTGATTTTCCTATCACACAGGTAAAAGCACAACATTCAAATCCAAACCATCTGAAACATATTCTTTCATGAATTGGAGCTAGGAAATGAGGGAGAGACATTGAAACTTCTGGCTGGGTGCTGAGCAGCCATCCTCCTTCCATCAGTACAGCAAACATCGCTTTACCTACTCTGGACACTGCCTGGTGCAAAATGGTACCTGAGAAATCTGCAAAGAACACCTCTTGCCTACAGTAAAATAGGCACCTGTGAGTTCTTAATTTACAAACATAAACAATAAAAAGGAAGCAGCCTAACATCTTAGCTGTCTTTTTTCCTTGTTACATACAAATCTAGGCAATAAATGTAATCATTTCTACAGCCAACAACAAGCTTTGTTCCCCATACTACGGGGGAAGAGAAAACCTCTCCTGGAAGCTTATCTACTCCTTCTGCTGTTCCACTCTTGGCATTCAGGATCCACACTTTGCCATCTGTAGATACTGCTGCCAAAAGAATTTTGTTCTTTAAGTCACCACTTTGGAAAACAAATGGTGTTCCATATACACTTGAAGTGGCTTCAAATTTCCACAGTAAATTACCCTCCATGTTACAACAGTAGATAAAACAATCATGGGAGCCAAAAAATATTTCTTGCTTAGTTAAACTTGAGATGCATGGAGATGAAAACACTGGTCCGTTAGTGGAAAACTGCCAAACCTACACACAGAAAGAACATAACCACCCATTATCAAAGGTTGGTGACATCAGTTTGACAGCAACTGTAATTTTTTAATAGACTAGTTGTTGACAGGAGAGCATTTTATTTCAAGAGCATACTAGATTTCAATGAGGGCTGGTAAATACTTGTCAAATAAAAGTTAAGTTTTACACATAGAGTAAGTGATAAAAGACTCATAAAATAGATGTGCAAGAGTTCCACGTAAAGATGGCCAACTTGGGAAAAGAATATTCTTGGGCTGTTGTACCATAATTAGTAATGAACTTTGAGAATTCTGTTAACATGCTGTTCTTTGCCAAAAAGGCAAATGTTCCTTTTGTAATATAGATTTCCTCTGCTCACACTAACAATGTGCAGATCCCTCCTCAAGAGAATATCAGTTCTGCAGCACTGCTGCAAGCAGACAGAGCAGGGCATGGGCTAACGCGTATTTTATAATCGGAAAATGCTTAGGAATTGCCATGTATGCTGCATCTCATGCAAACAAACAGAAACAGTGTCAGTTGCTTTAACGCCAGATAGAAACCACGTTCATCTCTGAGGAACTAAAAAAATATTCTCATTTAATTCAATGTGAAGGCTGACACATTTTGCCAGAATTATGATCTGGCATTTTTTGATAAATGCATAAACATTCTAAGAAACCTTTACTTCCAAATAGCCACCATCTTACAGAATAGATGGCTTTAAACATGCTTGAAAAAGTCCAAAACCAAACCTATGCCATTTAATTTGCTAGCACTACTCTGGACTTTGGGTGTAAGCTCTGAACTAGAATTCTGTTACTGCATCAACCAACTTGAGAGTTTGTAGTTTTGCCAAGAACTGCATGGACGACCGCAGGCAAGCAGTTTTTCTACTTTCTCCTCTCTGTAACAATAGACACTTCCATCTGGTTCACAAAAAGGTATATGTTAATCATTAAACCTCAGGAAACAATATTAATAAAGCATCTTATTCAGGGTTTTGTGATGAACATGAAAAACCCAGCAACACCACTTTTACCTTTTCTCCAGAATGAGTGTAACAATGTAAGTTTCCATCCACACACCCAACACAAACGTACTTCTCATTGCAGTGGGGAGAGGAGAAGAGTGGTTTTCCCAGGAAACTTTTCCAAATCTTATTCCCCGTCACCTGTAAATGGCAGCATGGAATATCTGATGCTTAACACAACGGTAAGAAGCTCCACAAAACAACCCTTCCTTCGCA